CCCTGGTGCTCCACAGGAGCAGACACTGTGGGATATTTAATTCCCATGTTCAGCCTTTCCCTGAGTGTTTCACTTAAAAAAAATCAAGACCAGATTTCTCCTCTGAGACAGGGACGGTCAGACCTGTGGGCCTGAGGCAAATTTTTTTGTAGCCTTCAGCCTTTTTTTTTTTGGGTTATTTGAGCCTTCAGGGTCTCTTCCCTCTCCTTGCAGCCTTTTCCACTGGAAAAGCATATGGGAAGTTCATAGGTCTAAGTGCTGCTTTCTCATTGGTTTTGGGTCAAACAGAATGAAAAAGAAACAAGGGCTGAAAAATAAAAGGAGTAAATGAAACCATGAATGCATGGGAAACAAATTAACTGGATATGTTTTACATTCTGAAATATTTCCATAATGCTTCTATGTAGTGTGTGTTTATTTTTCTTTGAATAATAATGTTAAAATGTGTCTAATTCAATTACTCTCTGCATTTGCTGAATGAGTTTTCCTTGGTGAAGGGCTCTCCTACACTACCCCAAGCTACGAATTCCATATGATATTTGAACAGGTCCTTTTAATTGCTGATATTAAGTGTCTATCATTCTGCTGGGAGTTGGCAGCATGGCCAGAGAAACAAATTCCTCTCTCAGATACATCAGACAGTCATTCAATTAACAACCAAAGCTTTATTGACACAGTAGGAATTCATTATGTGAAATATTAAAAAAAGCCCTCCACTGACTAGTTAAAAAAAAGAGACTTTTAAAGATGGTGGATTATCTGCATGTGGTTATTAAAATTATTTGTGGAGAATTTGAAATCATGGTTATGATGGAAACATTTTTTCTCAGAGGCATGAGCAGCATTTTTGTTGAAAGCATAAGTTGGACTGAAAAAAAGTGGCTATAATGTACACATCTCTATTTCTACAGACATTGTGCATTTTCTTGATTAAAAGCCTTAGATTTTATGAGTTATGGCTTTAGACTTACTGCATAAAGAGCTTCATGGCTTATTCTGTTAGAGTCTAATTTGAAAGAAAGTTCTTCCTCAAGGGTTTAAGAAGTAATTCATAAAATGGTAAGAATAATAAATATTGTGCCTTAACTCATACACTAGGATAGATAGACAGATTTGGTACACCTGGGTGTAATTTTAGTTAATTCACACAAGAGACAGGCTGAAAGTTTATTGTTTGGAAGGAGAAAAATGGCTTAAATCTTGTATTTGCAAAAATGATTATATTAGCTTAAATGAAAATGCTACTCTATTAATGGCTTCAATAAGCTTTGCATTTGGAAAAGTATTTTAATAAAAAGTTACCTGAAGTTTACTGCAACTTAAAATATGTAAGTGAGGGAAAAGTACTTACCTTGATTTATATGTCTTTTGGAGGTGTAATTATTGGCTTTTTACTCACCTATGTAAAACAATGTACTTTTGTAAATGGATTTCTGGCCACTTTACTCCTTTTTTTTTTTTCCACATAAAAAATAAGCACTGTCAATCAAAGAATTTTAAGGTTTATTTCCTCTTTAGAAATGATTGATAGCCTTTTAGATTTACAAGTTGACAAGTTAAAGGGTTCTATTGGTATAATTATGTACTAAATTCACAGTCTTTCAATTTAAATGTCCTTTTAAAACCACAAGATTATCATACCTGTATTTTGAAAAGTGGGCCAGTCAGTTTGGGTTGGTATACAAATTGCTTCCATTAGCCTTGGGACCTATTTGAATTTAGTACAGTTTTTTAAAGTTAGTAGTACTTTCAATGGTACTTTTAAAATATAAGGTAATGGGAATGCATTTTAAGTACCATATGTGTTAGCTTGTTTTTAATGTACAATGTCAAGAACATAAATAGAGAGTTTGTATTTCTGATTGATTTTTTTTTTCCAATCATGGAAAGAAAACTGTTATTTGAATTAAAGGACTGGGAAATGCCTTATTGTGGATGGGCTTCAGCAGCCATGTGTCCTGGGGCAGGGGAAAGCCTTGCAGGGAGGTGGTGTCTGACCTTGTAGCAGCTCTTCTGCAGTGCTTGGAGATGAGAATATTCCCTTTTTTTAGAGTTTTTCCACCTCCTGACACACAATTGGTCTGGTTTAATGCTGAGGGTGGGGTTAAATATGTGAACAGATCTCTTTCATTGAGAGATGATTAATTACATTTGGGTTGTGAATGAACAAGGAATGGAGGGTTGAAATTGTCCAATCTGTTGTCAGATGTCCAGGCAGCTAAAGATCCTTTATTATTGTTGTTATTATTTTTTAATTTTTTAAATTTTATGTAAGATTGAAAGGTTGAAGGGTTATAGACTAATGAGTGGTATTTAACAATAGCAGTTTAGGGCCCAGTCCTGCAGATTACTGTGTGCAGCCTCTCCCCGCCACTAAAGTAAAGCTGAAGCTGTTTGAAGCAGAAAGTTTGCACTATCTCTCACAGTATGCTTGATGCCTTCTGAGATTGGACCATAAAATTAACATTTTTTTTTTGGCCATTTAGTTCAGAAAATACTCAGAGGAAATACTCTGTGGATTTCAAATGTGTTGAACGTGTAGGAAGATATGAGAAAATGACTGCTAACTCTGGGGGGATTTCAGAACTGGCCTCCATTTATAATATTGCAGAATTTAGTAACTACTTTCCCAAAGGATCTAGAGGGAAAATGGCCATAAACTAGACTGAATTAGAGGAGAAATACATTTGGCAGAACCACACTAAAATCTTTGAACGTATTTGCAAAAGAAATTTAAATTTGTACTGTAGGATTTTGTTTTTTTTTTTCTCATCTTCTCAGAGAACAGCTATTTTTGATAAGAAGTATAAATAGCAATAAATTAATTTATTTGAAAAAGGTTTAAACTAAGCAGTCTTGTAAGAAAACTCAGAGGTAAGGAAACCAGGGGGTTCCAAATCAAGATATTGTGATAATTTCTGCAAAACTACACTGCAGAGGGGTCAGTGTGGGCCAGGGTATGAAAGGAAATGTTGGAAAAAAAGGCCAAATCATCCCAAAATTGAAAGGGGCCAAAGTAAGGGAAAAGCCTTATGCTCACTCCTTCCATATAATGACCTGGATAGAAATAAAAGATCACATTCAGATATTCCTGGTGAAAGGAAATACCTGGAAAAACACCAAACAAACAAGGAGACTGGAGGGATGTCATGACCTCCGGGGTAGTGAAAAGCTCAGAAAGTAAAATCCTGAAGGATTTCTAGTCTGGTGTTGCCATAATACCTCAAGACTAATTTCAGGATATGGTCAGAAGGTTTCTTTCTGATGTTAGAGGAATGCTGAGGTCCTGCTGGACCATGTGCCTCTCCAGGCAGTCCCATCAGCCCCACGTTTGTGTTTCACCATGTTGGGTCAGTCTGCATCCCTCAGCATCACCTTCCTCTGCCTCAGGCTGCAGCAGCATTGCTGGATTTGCTCATGGAGATGGGATGTGCCAAAGGTCCAGGAGGAGATGACAATCTGACCCTTTGCTTGCCAGCTGGACAGTGTGCTGTAGAAATGTGGTTTGAAAGTAATAGTAATTTAAAGGGATTGATTTGTGGTTTGTGATGGAATGCTAATTAATTACAAACAATCTGGGGATTAGATATTGGTTTCATGATAACATGAAATCTTTAGGAGTATGGAAAAATATTTACTTAAATCATGGAAATATGGACAGGTTATGCCATGTTGAGGCTGGGAGATGGAGTTTAATGCTCAATCTTTTTGCAGTGTTCAAATATCATCGTTCTAGCTGCATAAAAAAGTTCATAATAAGATCCTCATAAAGATATGATATATTCATAAATTTGTAAGACTTTGTGCAAGAAATATTTTTTTTGCTATGAATAAGCTAAGAGAAGAAAAACTTCAAAGTGACTCAAAAATTTTAAAATATAGACTTTTTTCCTCCACAAAAAAAAAAAAAAAAGGTTGAAAATATAAAAATCCACATTCAAATTGATTTTTTTTTCCCTTTAACTCAAAAAAATTCAAACAAATTGCTGTGGAATATTTCCACATCTCTATTGGCATGGGAGAGTCAAGATGTGCTGTTGTTTAGAGATGCTTGAGAATACTTGACTGTTCCAGTTCACCAAAGCACTTAGGAAATTCTAAGCACATGTTGAAGTCTCACTAACATCTGAGTTTTAAAGTGATCATATGACTGGAAATATAGCTAGAAGGTCATTCAGTGCAGTCCCCTGTAATTATAGGCAATCATATAAAAAACATAATATGCTCAAATTTGCTTTGCTGAAAGCAAATGGGTTTAAGTATGTGCTTACAGATAAGCATGTGCTTAAAGGCTTGACACAATCAGAGCTTCCATTAATGTAGACAGACCAGCATTTTCATGAAGATTAAAGTGTTCCACTTTCACCATTTCTCACCTCCATTTTATCGGACAAGGACTAGGGAAAGATGAACTAAAAACATTGATGTATTTTTTTTTTTTAATTATTAAGTTTCCTAGGTCAGTTTAGTGCTGATTAGAACCTAAGCTGCTGAAATCAGTGTCAATGAGTAACAAATAAAACCTCTGCCAAGACAATTGCCTGTATTTCACAACAAAATTATTTCTGAACATTGCACATGGAGCATATTAAATGTATAATGAAATTTGGAAGAAGAAAGGCACTGGAATAGGAACTACTTTTGCCTTCCAATCACCTTCCTCATAATATGAAAAACCCAACATGAAACATGGTGTGTAAAGAATTTATCACACTGATTTCACTGAGCCTTTCAGAGACAATGATTGCTTCCTGTTTGGAAGATGTATGCAACATGCCCAAATCTTCCAGCAGCTTTGCTGGAGGAACTGAAGTGGGAAGGTTTGGATGGAAGTCAAAGAACCACCCTCAAGCAGTGTTTGGACCAAGACTTGAGTCAGTGCTGAGTTCAAAGGGGGTTTTGCTGTGGTCCTGCTGCGGTCTCGTGGTGCCTTTGCTCGTTGTCACCAGAGCCCCTGCTCTGCCTTTGTCACCTCACGCTGTTGTTTGTTGTTGTTTCAGCTCTGAACGAACCCACCATTGACTATGGTTTCCAAAGGTTACAGAAGGTTATCCCCCGGCACCCCGGTGACCCCGAACGCTTGCCAAAGGTCAGCACAAAGTTTGTTGTTCTATTAAATATGCTAAAGATGGTTACTGCATGTTTTTGTCTGAAAGTGCAAGGCTCTGTGAATATGATGGTCCTGGTTTGGTACCCAAGCCAGATAAGCTGAAACAGAGGCATGACCAAGAAAGTCCAACCAGCAACTGGAGTCTTAGCAGAACTCTGTTATCTTCTCAGTCACAGCTAACTCCAACAGCTCTTGCCTTTCTTAAACACAAATCTTTCTCTATGTTCTAAAGTACGTAACAATTAACATGTTTTTTTGGTTACCATTTTGGGACCTGAGCAGTGTTTTCATGGAATAATGATGCTTTTTGGTTTTGATATCAGTAGCACTTTGCCAGCATAATTTTGAGAACTTCACCATTGATAAAATCAAGTTAATTGGATGTGACTCCATTGCTGTTGTATCATGTATTGGTTTAGGGTAATAATGATTATATACTGTTTTATTTCAGGATTGCTGATTTAATTAGAGCATTGTGTACTGAAGTGATGTTTGTTGCCATGAAAATTAGTGAGGTTTTTTGTTGATTTCTGTCAAGTAAAAGGTGGAGGAAAGACAGCATTGTTCAGATAGGTTTCTTGTACTGGGAAAACACTGGGATTGCACTCAGATCTGGTTGTGCTACCTTGCAAGAATTTACAGTGACTTTTGTGCTATACTGGAGTAAGAGGTGGGGGATTTAAGTGTTGCTGGTGTCCACAGGAGCTCTGAGCAATGCTGACGATCTGGAGTCACTGTGGCCAGCTGCCACTGCGTGTTTTATCTGCTGTTGCTGAGGGAGCTGAGGAGTCAGAACACTCCCTGTGGAAAAGGAAATGTGAATTTGCAGACCTGAGACACAGACAAATTAATTGTTCAGTTAATGTACATGCAGTATAGCCTTTGTGACTGGGCAATACTTGTGACCTTTCTTCTGTAGTTCCCTGAGCTATCCACAGGCTTTCATCAGGGATTGTAGGCTTTGATTAGTTGCATTTCTAAAGTGTTTGAAAGGTGAGAAGATTTCCTGAACACTGGAACTTAATTTGTTTAATTCCTTGAAAGAAATAAAAGTCAGTATGTGACTTTTTTTACAGGCTTGTTCTGTCTTTTATCTTTGCCTGGGAAGGCTGCAGGCTGTGGTTTTGGGGTCACTGATGTGTTGTCCTTCCCTCTTCCCACCAGAGAAACATGCTGTCCTGGGGAGTTACATTCACCATTGGCTCTGTTCGCCCTCTGCAAGCTGTCCCTTTCCCTAACATTTGGACAGACTTGCAGCAGGACACAGCTTTCATGGCTTGTCAAGTTTCACTCCAGAGGTGCAACCCTTTCCAAGGAAAGAGAGCATCCTTCTGTAGGGGCTTTTTTTTTTTTTTTTTTAACCTCTATCCTGCCTCTGCTGCCAAATGTACTTCTGGAGAAAAATAGTTTCTCAGAAAATAAGAAATGCCAGGCATTTGCAAGGCCCAAAAAAACTGCTGCAAAACTTCCCTAAACCAAACATTCCAGCTGGCTACTAGATGGCCACAGATTTTATTTAAATCAGGAAATTCAAGTAAAATAAAACTGGCCAATTCCAAATTGAGTTATGTGGCTAGGGGTTGTGGTGCATCACCAACTTCCACAGGAATTGGGCTCTGTTTTGGCTTCTGAGGCACTGAGGGGGTCCCCAGTAATGCCACTTTGTGCTGGTGTGTAAATGTGGGAATGCAGACTCCAGGATGAACACCCTCCTCTTTCCCATTTGTTCTGGGACTGGTACCACACATTCCTGCAGGCAGAAGAAATCTTCTCCTAGCTCCATATCCTGACTCTAAAATTTATCAGGTATTTATGGATAGGGTATGAGTGTGAGGGTTAGCACCGAGTCGTCTGTCCCCTCCTCTTCCCTCTGGGCTTCATGTGTTTCTTTGGAGTACCTTTTAAACTCATTTTTCAGATCTTTAAATCAAAGAAAATTGTGGTTATGTCTGCTGAGGTAAGATGTGATGGCCTAAAATAAAAGGTCACTTCTTAAGGGTTGGACAAACTCAGCGAAGAAACTGGTAACACTGTGCAAGCTTACAGGGAAACAGGATGAAGAGAGGACCTTTTTTTGTTTGTCTTTGGGTAATTCCTTCTATGCAAGCTTGAAGGTTGGACCTCAAGTTCAAGTCTCATTAATATGCCACGCACAGAGGCTGAATGCAGCAGGGGTTGGCACATGTCGACTTCTGTGTTTGAGGCACTGATGGTTCAATTCCCAGCATCACTTGCTGGCTCCAGGATCAGCATCAAGGACGTGTGAGCCCCTGTGCTGGTGAGCACTGCACAGTGCTCTTCCCCATGTCATTAAACCAGGAAGGGCTTTGGCACTGTTCCACTGCAGACAATTCTCAGTGGCTACTTAGTGGAGTGTTGGAAGCCATATGGCTCCCACAGTGGAACCACGGGCAGAAAGGGCAAATGTTCCAGAGAAACTGAAGAGAGGAGAGCAGTGCTCGGAGCTCTCAAAATCCTTCCTTCCATTTCCTCCCTTGTCCTGACAGCACATCATCACTTTCTGTTCATAAAAAAACTTGTGCCTTTGCATTAAATAAACAAAACAAATAATATTTCTCTAATTGCTGCTAGGGTTTGTGGCCATTATTTCATCGAAACATTACTGATGAATTAGAGATCTTTCCAGAGGTAGAAGTGGTTATAATTTTTGTGTTCATAAGGACATGCTGCCCTTCCCATGGACCATCAAGATCATCCTGCTCTGTGACTTATCCCTGCAGTCAAGGAGAATTGTTGAGGCCATCAAGTGAGTGTTAGCACATGCTCTGCTCTCCAGAGCTGAGAAGTTTAACAGCATTTCTAAAACCATTAAGGCTGTTAGAGAAGTTTGATCTCCACAAATTTAGAGCCAGTATTTTCAAAAATGCTCAATATTTATGCTCAGGATGAATTTTTTTAAATGTTCCAACTATCTGCTGGAAGTAGACAAAGAAAAAAAAAGATACCTTTTAAAAAATAATTTCCCCTTCTCAGTGGTTCAGCAGGCAAATTCCAGTAGAGAATGCCCTCCCACAGTGAGGAGAATGGGAGCACCTCGAAATGAGGATCTTTGGACTGCTAGATTGACAGCTGATGTGCTTAAAGTAGAAATGCAATATATAGTTTCTGGAGAAAAGAGAGGGAGCTGATGTTAGCAGCTGAGCTATGGAGCCAGTTTGAGCCAGAATCCTGTTCACTTCTTGTCCAGAGCAGGTCAGGGAAGGCAGCCAGTGGAAGGAGGTGTGCATGTCTGTACAGACACCCCCACACCCACAGGCACCAGGAGGAGAGACAAGGGCGGTGGGATTAGCACCCAAAGCTTGGAGTGAGATCAAGTACCAGGAGTGTGCTGGGCAGTGTAGTCTTTCCTTTCTAATACAGACAGGAGGCACATCAGAGGAAACAGGAGACCTATGGGGTTAAGAGAAAAGGAGCACTGTGATGCTAACGTTGAGAAATGCTGTCATTGTCCTGCAGGAGCAGTCTGTAGGGAGCCTGTGTGGAGCTGGGAACAGCCCTGCACGTGTGTGTGCCCCATTTCCATCTGGACTGTTTGCACACGTGCAAACACACAAATGCACTCGTGTTGTTGGTTCCTGTGCACATAAACAGCAGTGGAGATCACTGAGGAGTTCAGATCACAACAACATGTTGAGTCTATTAAGGTTCATTCATGTAACTACCCTGCAATCCTTAAAATAAATCCCTGGCAGACGCGTTGCAATTCTGCAATTTTGTTAAAACTCCACAGCTAGAGCTGTAAAACAGCTTCAGCTGTGAGCTAGATTTGAAACACATCCATCCTAAATGATTTAATAACAACGATTCCTCTTTATATGCAATTTCCTAGATTTTATTTGCCATTTTCACCACTCCTACAACTCATCACTTGTATTTAGATTAAGCAGAAGATTGTTCACTCTGTGTTTGAGAAGCGAGTCATTGCACCAACCCCCTCTGTGATCTGACGTTCTCTCCCTCCCAGTCTGTTCCTTCAGTGCTCTCCAGGAGACCCCTTATCCCTCCTGAAAGGGACCTTTACTTCTGGTTTCTCTTCATGTAGATGAAAGTGGAGCTTCTCTCTCTAGTGCACAGGGACTCCCTGCTGAGCTGAGAGCACAGGTAACCAGAATCCTCCTTCCCTTCAGCTCCTTTTCTCTGGTCAGTCATTAATCCCCCCCAAGACACAGCCCAGCTCCTCGTTTAGGACACTAATAAAAGACATGTGGTTATTAGGAATCAGAGGCTGGCAAAAGCAGTTGTCTTTTTCCATATGAAATCCAACTGATCTGCCCTTTATCCATCGTGACATGGGTATTGTTTATATTGCAAATAAAGGCTGTCTCTAAACGTGGGTGGTTGGCCCAGGCTTGGTAGCAGAGGTTAAAATAGCAATGAAGACAATGCAGCTCAGGTTTGCTGCTTCAGACAGACCCAATGGAAATTCCAGAAAGGACTGCCATCTACTACCTCAATCTATACTGTATTTTAACCTAAGTTAGTAATTTTCAGCTAAGAAAACACTTTTGCTTTTTTTTTCCCCAACCAGAGTAACAAAAGAATCATTAGAAAACTTTTATACTAAGTGTGGGCAGGAAGGGGGGGCATTTAAAGAGGAGTTATTGGAGTTCATCTGTCGTGGGATGTGCTTGGAGGGCTCTACATTCTATTGTAAAATTTACAGGAATGTGAGACCAGAGTTAAGGTTGGTATTGAACCCTCAACAGCTGGGTTTTGAAGTTTCCTAACAATCTGAGCACTCAGTTGAGGAGCTTGTTTAGGGGGTCTGATATTTTGTTTATCCTGTAGAAAATATTCAACAAGAGAGCATCAAAGCTTCTGAGATGGCGAGGTAGCTGTGAATGTGTCATCCTTATGGGGTGGTGGATGTCAGAGGGGTGTCTGGGAATATGCAGAGCCTGAAAGGAGAGAGCAGAGGGACAGAGGCACCGCTCGCTGAAGGGCACAGCAAGCACACA